CTGAGAAATGCATAAAGGCATGGAAGACACTGCAGTTTTATGTGCATTTTTATTTCAAGAAGATTGTCTTTTTTATTGTGTCTTATTTTTTGTCGATATTCTGAAGTTGTAAAAGGAATAGAAATAAAAGCAGGTGGAAATAAAGGTTACAACAGAGTAATGTAGTCTAGGAACCTTAGCTTTGAAATTATTATCATTCATTATACAGCAAAACATCAGTATTACTAGTGCTTTTAATGTTTTTCAATGCTGCCAAATGTTTCTGTTGACTAACTTATTCCCAGGGGGTTCCTGTAACTCTCTGAGGTCACTCAGGTACTGCTTTCTAAATTACCATGGTGGTGAATTCAATTACTAACTGTACTCTTTTCTTGGCCTAAAAGAATAAATGGTCTTCCTAGTGCGTTTTTCTCTTTGGAAAGGTCGAGAGTGTTAAAGCTGAATAGGACCTGAGAGAGTATCTGGTTCAGTGTCCATGAACTTCTCTGGTGACAAAACTCTCCTGAGGACTTGTTTAAAAAATAAGGATTCCAAGAGTACTCCCCTGGGTACTCTATTACAATCAGTTTGACTTACAGCCTAAGAATGTATATTTTATAACAAAGATTCCAGATGACTCTTAGGATCAGGCACATTTGGAAAAAAACAAATTTACTCCACTTTGTTATGTTATGGATGAGGAGGCAGATGCCCAGATGGATTAAGTGATTTATCTAAGTTGTACTGCACATTTAAACATTGAGGTTAGTTCATAAAAAAGTGTTGATGGAAAAAAAAATGTTGATAGGCAGCCTTTATGCTTCCAGGGCAGGGAATAGAAGAATGTATTTTCTTGTAATTTGAGCCTTCTGTATTGAATAAACCAATTTCATTTAGATGATTATGGGAGAAGTCACAGGGACACTTTGCTCTGTTTCCGAGTGATTCTCAACTGGGGATGACTTTCCTTCCTAGGTAATATCTGTCAATGTCTGGAGGTATATTTTGGGGCACAGCTGAGGGGAGGAAGGCATTACTGGTATACAGTGTATAGTGCATGCTACCAGCCACCCTGCAATGCACAGAACCTCCTGCCACAACAAAAAATTACTTGGACCAAAATGTCAATAGTGTCCAGATTGGGAAACCCTGGTATTCACATAATCCCTCTTGAGCATCATCTCCCCATGAGATATTTAACAGTAATATCTGGGCAATTTGAGAAGGACAGTTTCTGGTTTTCTTCCTGAAATTAGAAAGGCTTGTATCAAAGCTAACTAGGTCATGTATTGATCCCTGTTAGGCTATACTTAGACTGAATGAAGCTGGATCTCCTTCTTAGGACCATACAGTAAATCCTTTTAGGATCCCTTCCCGTCTTCTACTCAGACCTGCCTTTTCCGAGAGCACTTGAATTATGTCAGCTTTGACCTTGCTGCATTCTGAGCCTAGAACTCTAATTTCCAAACTCTTAATTCCCTGGAGTCAGCTACCAACTACAGTGTCAATATCTGCTGATTTTAACAGAAATTGAGAGTTTCTGGTCAAAATCATAATCCAGAGGCTAAGTGAATGGACTACTCAGTTGAATTAGAAAAACTTATTTCCCAAATCAGTCTGATTTTATTTTCCTAGTATTTCTCAATTTTATCTCCTTTCCATCTGTTATCATCACTTAGTTCAGATCTTCATTATCTTTTTAATGAACTACTGAAATAAATACTTGAACAACCTCTTAACTTTTCTCCCACCTTTGCTATCTTCCCAGCCATTCTATACCTAAACAATTATCTTTGTAAGGTGTTTTCACCCCTGATTTTTCCCCACCCAAACTTTTTCCTGATTAAACCAATCAGTTTTTCCTCACCTGTAAGATTGTTTCTCAAACTTGGATTACATATGGAATCTTTATAAAAGAGAAGCACATTTTCTCATATCACTTGTACTAGCTTAAATTATTTTACTGTAAAATTATTGGAGTTGGCATGGTATCACTGACACCCAGCCAGGGATCTGACACACCTGTAGTATTCCAATAAATACATAGTAAACTGAAGTGAACCATTTTCAATTAAAGGGCCAAGTCCAGTAACCAGGCTGAATTTTTTTGTTTTGTTTGTTTGTTTCCAATACTCAGAATTTATTATATTTTAAGAAAACATGATATAGTTGAAAAAATGCACTGGATATAGAATCAGAAGGCTTGAGTTCACATCTTGTCCTGTCACTTGTTCTTGAGTGTAAAATTGAGATAAAGAATTGCCATCTCACCCTGCTTTTACAGATGTGCAATTCTGGCATGATGTCTGATAAACAGGCATATATTAGTTTCATAGCAGTTCAGTAAATTTTAGTTTTCTTTCTGCATTATTGCTGTACTCCATTTTATGGCCTTTAGTGATTTGAAATTACTACTGTTACCAGTGAAGCTACAAATCTATATACCTCTTTATCACAATGTAATTGAGGTCCACTATTACTTTTTTTTTCCGGAATTGAGCTTCAGCATTACTATATAAAACACAGGACAAAATCATTCTTTTCTTTTCATCCTCACAGGTACTTCACTTCCTTTAACTAATTATTCAAAACATATTTCTTTTCTCTCTCAGGCATGAGAGAATCTCTACTTGGTTTTGGTTACCTAGGGGTATCTGTCTTTTTCCATCTCTTTGTAGTCTGTTTTCATCAGACAGCATCTGCTTTGAGAAGCAGTTCTTTCCCTGCTTGTATGATTGCATTGCCTTTTTTATGCCTTCGTATGGACATAGGGTCTAGACCTTCACTACTTTGGGTGATAGGCTTAGGGCTCTCCAATAGCACGGCGTTTGTTGTAGAAGCAAGTTGTGTGGAGTTCAGCAATATGGAAAATGCCTCTAGTCATTGGGCTTCTATCTCTTACATGTGTTTTATAAACAAAAATAGATATGAGGTAAAATGAAAGCAACTGAGACAGATATATTGATGCTGACAAGGAGCAACAGAAAAGGAGTGAAAAGATTGCAGTTCACATATTACGGGATGAAATGCCAGCTACAAACTATAGAAGGAGCTCCTAAAAGAAGGTTTTTAGCAGTGGTCACTTATTGGGGCAAGAAAACTCAGGCTAGATGGAAAAGAGGAGCTTCACAGCTATGGGAAGAGCCATAGGATGAACTGAGCTACAAAGGGATGTGATCAGTGTCACTGGAGACAGAGTGTCTGAGTTTCAGCTTAGCATTGTGAGGATAGGAATAATGAAATCAGTTTGTCATAAAGCAGCAGGCATGAGTCTATGACCCACAGGAGATCCCTATTACCACAAATTATTCTCTGGTTATGTGCCTTCCTAAAGACTGAAAGCGATGTGTGGCTCGAGTGCTTTTGTATTGGATTAAGGCTGCACCTGTCACACCCTACCCCATTTCACCTTCAACCTAGTCTCTGAATCCAGTTCATATTAAAACCTTAGTGCCTTTTGGTGGAGAGATGTACATCTAACAGGAAAAAAAACTGAATATTTGGAACCTTACAGAAAACACATTTGATTCTGTTTTTGTCATTTGTCACAATCATGAAAAGTACCATCTGGTAGGAAATGAAAGAGAACCTTAGGGTCTTGTTTTCTAAGTTAGGAATAAAGTCATTTGAGTTGGCAAGTCTCAGTGAACAGTTGCAAGTTTACAAGTACTGACCTCAGGCCCTTTTGTATCCATGTTGTCTGCATTTGGGCCACAGTTAACATATGTCATTGCTAGAGACTCAGCACTGTTTGACAGCTTGCACACAGAAGAGTAACTGACAGAACTACATGTATTTCTGCTTCTAGATTTCTTGTTCAGTATAACTATCTGGTTAAGAAACAAGATTTTTAGGACAATTACGATACGTACATCTGATTTTATGGTATTTTTACTTACTCTCAGTGTCCATTGTAACTTCTTAAAAGGATACTGGTATTTATTATATTTCAAATTGGTTTAAAAAAAGTTCTTTCTATGCTTTTGTGTCAGTTTCTGTGTAAAGTTACACCCCTTGTTCTTGAAGACCTTGCAATCAATCTATTGGAGGAGAATATAAAGATAATTCTTCAGAATAATGACAAGCCAGGCAACAGCCTTGGAGAAAGTAGTTGCAAAGGCATATCTGATACAGAACTGTCACGTGGGTTCACTGAGTAATACTTTCGTACAGTAGAGGGCAGCTATGCATGTGCGGAGTTAGGGTATAGGGTACAGAGACTGTATTTTTCCACTCGATTTTGCTGTGGACCTAAAACTGTTCTAAAAGTAAAATCTGTTTTTAAAAATAATGAAGCCAATGCGTTATGTTATATACTATGAAAGAAGGTTATAAGAAGTGTAGTAGCCCAGAGAAGAGGGCATTTAAGCTTATTCAGCCTAGAGAAGTTTGGAGAAATTTTACAGAAGTGGTGACTTTTAGACTGGGATTTAAAAGGCAAGCAGAACTTTGTCAATAGGAAGGTGCAAGGCAGTGATTACAGGCAGAGAAGGAGAAAAAGGAAGGAGAGGAAAAGGGTTAAAGGGAGGGAGAAAAGTAGCAGGAGGAAGAGAAGGAATGACATATTCTTTGAATGCCTTGTAATTATGTCTGAAACCAGAGTTTATAGTAGACATAGGCAGGTCATTGGACTAGTGGGGCATATTGGGAACTTTAGCCATTTTATCAGTCATGCTGAGTTTGGAGTCTATCTAGGGAACAAGCCTTTGGTTGTTCGTGAAGAATAGAAAAGCTAATACTGCATGCTTACTTTTGTTGTTGCTATGGATTATCACATGTAATCCTCACGACACCCTTTGGAACTGGACGTTATCGTCTCAGTTTGTCATTGAAGAAACTAAGGCAGAGAAGTTAAATAGCTGTCCAAGCTCATACAGCTATCAGTGGCAGAGTTGAGACTCAAATCCAGGCATCATGATGTCAAAACTCAGTGCATGGCCACCTAGTGTGGGTGAAACATTCAAAGAGAGAGAAGCTGAGTGTAGATCAAATGTCAATGCCTGTCTTTTGTTTTTTTCCAGGTCTCTTTGCAAGGAAATAGAGCAGCAGCTGCCATCAACTGCAATTCCATCACACTTTCATGATGTTTCCCTTGGCCAGAAATGTATTAAGTAGTCTCAAGATTCGAAGAATTCAGCAAATTAGGTCAAGACAGAGGCACACAGAACACTCACCAGGTTTTCATGACAAATATGGCGATGCTGTATTAGCCAGTGGCACCACTTTCTGTGTTGTTGCATGGGTGTTTATGGGCACACAGATTGGATGGAACCTGTCCCCTGTTGGCAGGGTTACCCCCAGAGAGTGGAATGATGAGTAGCCATCACAGTCACTGTAATGCTGAATTGTTTCAAAATCAACTTACCTGTTAAGCACTCTGCTGCTCATTTAAATGAGCATAAACTAAATAAAAGTACATTAAAAATCTTTAAAAAGTCATTGAAAATAGTCATTATAGTGCCTGGAAGCAAAGCAGTAGCAGGGACTACAGATTCTAGGGGATTATGAATAATAAATATTTGGAAGTAGAGTTGATAAAGCATGTATTCTTCTGGCTTAATCATTTACACTAGTTATTCTTCAGTGGACATACATACATTTGTACCTTACAAATTAATTTGGCAGATTCTATTGATCTTTCTTTAAAATGTATTCATAAACAGACAATCTTTCACATCCTTCATTGTTCCCTCCCTGAGAGTCCACCACACTCTCAGTGGAACTATTGTAAAAAACTTCCTAGCCAGTCTTCTTGGTTCTAAGGTGATGGTCCCCCAGGGCTGTCCCCATCCCACTCTGCCACACAGAGTCTTTTTTAAGCACAGGAGCCAGAATGATCTTTTAAAACTTCAGTGATATCACTTCTCTTTTCAAAACCCAGTTTCTCCTTATTTGCCTCCAGAGTTAAAGCCAAAAGTCCTTAGAAAAAAACACAGGCATCTAGATGCTGCCCTGGTCACTGTCTCTCCTGCATTAAGACTTTTCATTTTCTCTTCTCTCTGCTGGGAATATACTTCCTCCAGGTCCTGTATGACTCACTCCATCACACCTTTCAGGGTTTTTGTTATATGCCATATTTTCAGAAGAGCCTCTGACTACCCTTTTAAAATCACAACCCCTTCTTAGATCAGACTTTGTCCTACTTTCTTGCTTTATTTTTCTCCATAGTAATTATCATAATATGACATAAGATTTATTTTATTGTTCATTGTCAGTCTGCAGAACTCCTTAAAAGTATGGGAGGGTGACTGATTTTTTTTCATGACTTTAACCCTGTGCCGCAGCCTGATTGATTAGGCCTTCAGTAATTATTGGTTGAATTAATGAATTAATGTGTGGCTTCAGGTAATTCAAATCCCCTAGTAGTTTGAAAATAATGAATTTGTTTACTACTGTGAGTTTGTAATGATTATTGAAGGGTATATCAGTTATCTATTGCTATTTTAGAAATTACTCTAAAATTCAATGGCTTAATACAACAAACAATTATTATCTCATAGTTTCTGTGGGTCAAGAATCTGAGCATAATTTAGCAGATGCCTCTGGCTCAGGACTTCACACTTCCGCAATCAAAGTATTAGGGCTGTAATCATACCAAGGCACAACTGGAGGAGCGTCCATTTCCAAGTTCATTCTTATGACTGTTCACTGGCTTCAGGACTTTGCTAGATATTGGATGGAGACACCTTGTCATGTGGGTCTCTCCATAGAAAGCTCACAGTGTAATAGGGTAGGAGAAGGTACCAAGACTGCAGCCGCAGTCTTCTTGTAATTTAATCTTGCAAGCGACTTTCCATCACCTTCATGATATTTTATTCACTAGAATTAAGACACTGAATGAAGGCCGTGCAAAAGGGGAGGAGATTAGACAAGAGCCTGATTACCTTGAGGCAGGGAGGGGTCACTGGAGGCTGTCTTAACGGGCTGCCTACCACAGTTGGAGACCTCCTCGTCCTGGATTACTAACCTCAAGGAAGTTTCTCCTTATTTGCCTCCAGAGTTAAAGCCAAAAGTCCACATAATGGAGACCTCCTCCTCCTGGATTACTAGGAGGTGTATTGTTCCTCAAGCTAAAATATGTATTAATATTACTATTCTCTAGACAAAGTACATTATATACACATGTTCCTCCCCATTTTTACTATGTGAAAGTTCCTCAAGCGTCCTTCTTAGCTGTAGAGTTGCTAGCCCTTAGGGAATACCCATTTTCAGCTTTACCACTATTAATGAATTATTCCCCAGTGGTTAAATCATATAGATCTCACCAGCATTGCGTACATTTGCCTTTTATTTCTTGTCCAAACTTACAGAGTGTTCATACATTCTAGTATTTGCTGCTCTGATGAGAATGAAATAGTAGCTCATATTTTAATGTGTATTCCCCTGATTACTGATGAGGTCCAACATCCCATGTTAGCTTTATTTTTTCTTTTGTATGACTTCTCTGTCTCTTTTGTCATTTTTCTTTCAGTCATTTGTTTGACTCATTTGTAGAAGTTTTTATATATTCTCCATACTAATTTTATCAGTCAGGTTTTAATCAGAGAAGCAGAAGCAGTATGAATAATATAGAATATAGGATTAATTATGGGAATTAGAACTAATGTAATTGTGAGAGCTAGTGGAGAAGCCTTTATAAGGCTGTTGCCTCTGTGGAGAAAAGCTGACTGTGAAATAGCAAAGAACAAGGACCAGCTTAAATTGGGAGGGGTGCACTGGAATTGTGCATATAAACTGGAACCTGTGCCTGGTTATCACTGTCTCCAGTTAAGGTAACGTGGAAGACTTATGGAGAAGTTGGTGTCTTCACTGTGGAAGTGCACATTCACCTGGCCCAGGGCTCACAAAAGCTGAAGAAGAACTGATAGGAATTTAAATAGTTACAAGTCCAGGTGCTGGTCCTTACCAACAAAGGAAGCCAAAGATCAGCAACAGCATGCACAAGCTGCCACAGTGCCTGGTGTTACATGCCAACCTTCCAAGTATAAAATGGTTGCTCTTTCTAGTCCACCATCCCTGTCTCATGCATTTCTCTCTTGTGGCCAACTCTAACCTGACACCATAGAGGTAAAGGAAGTTTGGAAAAAGTAGTTCAAGCCTAGCTAAGTTGACACTTAGCCAGAAATCCACCCCTTATCCATTTACAATCACTCTACATCTTTCCTAATCATATCTGCATTTCAATAGCAAAAATATGCTTTCATATAACATGATGCGACTTTTCCTCATAAAACTAACACACTAATCCTGTCCCACAAAGAAGACTTTACCCATGGCAGAGTGGCATTCTTAACTTCCAGTTTAATGGAATGATTTCTATGATCCCTTGTGGAAGCCTAAGTCTTCTAGACCAGCAAAACCCAGAGTTATTGGAAAAGGAAACAAAAATTTCTCTAGTGAACAGCTGGGAGGCAACTGAGGAACTGCTCCTACCCCCATGTCTTCACTCTCGCATCTGCAAATCCCTGCTCTGAGAAAATGGCACCATGTATTTGTTGGTTATTCAGACTGGAATACATTACCTCAGTCTGGAAAGGCAGTGTTACTGAGCTGTTGGTCTAAGTAACACTGAAAGGCCATTGCACCATTCTATCAGTTACAGGGGACGTGGTAAGAGCAGTAACTCTCATAAGCATGAATCCAGTCCTGTACTTCCTTTGCTATAGAGCCAAGTTTTTTGGTCAGAATCAGGGTTATGTTTTATACCATGGTTCTACAAAAGGCATTTTTCAAGTTCATGGAATATGGTATTAACCGAAAAGTCACAGAGACAAAAGCTAAAACTACATTTTTAGTGTGTATTCAAGTAAGAACCAAATGCTGCCTTTCCCATGATGGGAGTGGTCCAGTGAAATCAGCCTGGCACCCGTGGTTAGATGGTTCCCTCCTCGCCGCCAGGGAATGGTGCCTTACAGAGGTGTAGTGTTTGCCCTCCCATTAGATTGGGAATTCAGCAGGGGCTACAGCCAGACGAGCCTCTGTAGGTGCAAGTCCATGTTGAGCTCACACATCATTTCCATCCCTGCTGTCATGACCGCTTTGTCTCTGAGCCGTAGTGAAAGCACACAGTGGCCAAGAGAGTGACAGCCATAAGAATGGACCATCTTGTTCACCTGATTATTAAGATAAGATATTCCTCTGATGAATATCCTTTTGCTGAGTAGTATATGGGATCTGAATATCTGCCCAGTGTGTGCCCATTTCAAGTAAAAGTCTGTTCTCATCACCCATTCCCAGACTTATTGTCCCCAATTTTCTGATCGTCTTCCTTCTGATTCCCTGCCAAGCCTGCCAAGCCATTAGCTGGCACCCGAGACTTGGTATGGAATTGTACCTCTGCCCATTTCTCCTTCTAAGCAAAGTAAACGACTCTGTATGGTACTTAATATACTGCCTACCAGGAAGATTTTTTCAGGGCCAACTTGGAATTACACTGTATTGCTAAAGCTGTCTGCTTTCAGGTATGGCCAGCATACTTCGCAGAATCAGACCTGAACTCTATCTTCCTTGGTCATCTGGTAATAGAAAGCTGCCCATGGGGACAAAGGTTTATAGACCTATAAACCCTAGGCTTGAAGTAACATGAAACTTTCCCAAGCACACAACTTACAAACAATAGGGCAGGTGTGCAGCTTTGGAAACCGTTCTTCACTTAGGTTATCATGTGTTTTTAGTCTTTCTTCTGACGTACTGGTTGGAAGTTCTGGAGAAGGATTGAAACTGGACCTAGACAGGCTAGGGAGCCATCATAGATCATTGTAAAAAACATTACAGAATATGTCAACAAGAAAGTAAGGATAAGGAATGCATGAGGCATGAGTATTTTTAAATAGCAATTATTTTCTTCCCTACCTTCATTCTGAATATTTTCTGACTTGAAGTGAGCATTAAAGCATACCTCTTTGTGTGTGAGTGTGTGTGTGTGTGTGTGTGTGTGTAGAGAGAGAATGGATATGTGTGTATAGAGATACATATACATGTATCTATCCATATTGATACAGATAGATATATATACACATATATTTAAGAGTATAATTATTTTAAGGAGTATATATGTACATAAATGTGCTTAAGAAAATTATATTAAAATTTGTGGCTATTGATTTCTTACAATAAAATTTAAATACTGAATCTTTTAGATTGTTTCTCTCCTTTCTCATTACATTCCAATCACACATAAGACATTAGATGCAAACCATTTGGAGATTGTTTTGCAACTGGAGATTGTTGACAGGAAGTTTTGGTTCATTTGAGATTTACAGTAATCCTGTAAAGTCCATAACATGGTAATGTATCCTAGTAAATAGATTTATACCTGTGGTTAGCCATGGGTTAGCATAGAAATCACTTAAAAATGAAGATAGAAATAGAATACACATTTCTTTGGTTTGGGTCTACTGCTACACTA